ACATCATACACACACACACACACACACACTATATATATATATAAATATATATAAACATACAACAAACTAAAAACAAAAACTAAAATAAATTCCTAAAATAACCCAAATTGTGTGTTTGAAATGTGCAATGTGGCTTATCTAAAAAAAATAGTTTAAATAGTAAATTAATATATAAAGTTTATAAAAGCATCCTTAAAAAGATTAAAATAGAAAATGTAAAAAAGTAAAATTTTACCCATATGTATTTAAAAAAAAATATGTACAATTATGCTGTACATACATGTATCACCACAGTTTAGCTGTGTATATCACACAGTCTAATGGCAGCTGGCAGGAAGGACCTCCTACAGCGTTCAGTCCTGCACTTTGGTTCTATCAACCTGTGACTGAAGGTTCTCTGCCAAACCACCTCCAGAATGGATGTGTTGGTAATTATATATTTCATATATATGATATTGATTAACTGAAAAACTTACTGGGTGAAAATAATGTAATAAAGTATTACAACTGACTCCGATTACGTTAGCTGATACAGTTTATCAGCAAAGTCTGAAGGTGATGCATTTCTTCCACATCAATGGATAAAAGTGACAATGCGACATTTTGGTACCTTTAGTATCTTGGTATTGATATCTAATCTAAACACTAGCAATGATGTGTATTTCCACATGTAGAGGTTAGCCTACACAACTCTATGATGAAAGAAACACTGAGAAGACGAACTTAGTAATTAATGTCATTTCAGTGTCATCGATTATTGCCAATTTGTTGATGCAGAATGAAAGACAGATTGCTAAACATAATGTCGTATTTGCCCTTAGCGGTGTTAACAGTATAAGATAGGCTATACACCCTTAACAGTGGGAAGCCATATTAAATTGACAGATTTTTAGCTAGTAGTTTGGTGTGAGAGTAACGTTAACACTAGCATTGCCTAATCAGTAACTTTAGCGTTAATCCCAGTAACGTAACATTAGCTGGTTTCCTAACGCTGTCTTTAGTATAACGTGTACTAAAATATCGCTTACTAGTGATGTTACGTGGTGTGCCGATGCTTCGAAGCGTGTGTCGAGTAATCCAGGAAGAGTTTCCGCGATGCGCGTATCGAGGCTTGTAGCGTTTCAGACGAGTGACGTCATTGATGAAGTCCGAAGCCTCGTTGCCCGGCTGTACCACGTGACTGGTTCGGGAAGCGGTTCAGATCTTGGTCAAAGAGCATGGACAAAGAGCATGGATACCAAGAGGCGAAGCTCAATAGAACGCCCCATAGCAACATACTCGCCCATGGTTTCGTCCTACCGCCGCCATTTTGGACTGTCAGCAGACCGCAGCAGACCCGCTTGCATACAAAAACACACAGACAAACTGAAGTATATGCTTACAATGCTACTCACTTCGTGATAGCTTGGTCACAGCTGCTTTTTCACGTTTTTGTAAAGCAAAATATAGACTTTAAAAAACACAAAACTTAGAAAAACGGCTTAGATGGCATCTCTACATATTACATCCACTTATGAGAAGATTAATTTAATTACTCCTTCAAAATCACCCCATAAGCCAATCTACCGAAAAATAAATAAATAAATAAATAAAAATCAATATTTCAACTAGAAACACATTAATGGCGAGGTCACATAGTCAGGAATAAAGATTTATTTACAGTTTGTACAGTAAGGGGACAGTAATAATAATATTAATAATATATAGGCTATTTTAATATGATATATTTTAATGCTAAAGCAGTAATCAGTTCTGATATAAATGGTCCAAGAGGCCATATACAACAAAGCAAAACTGGCATCTCGCCTCTTGGTATCCATGCTCTTTGGCATTCAAGGGAGCTTCGCCTCTTGACGCGAAGCTCCGTTGAATTTTTGCCAACAGCCAATAGGGGCGCTGCCGCCATTTTGGACTGTTGAGCTTGGACTGTTGCGCCCAGACAGCATGCAAGATGTCAAGGAGAGTGGAGAAAAAAAGTAAAAGAAAACAGTGTAGTGCAATTAACTGCAACAACTATCAGCGAAACACCCCGCACCTGGCCTTCCACCGTTTCCCGAAGAATCCCGACAGGTAAGAACCCCTGAGGTGTAAGTTTTAAAGTGTTTTAATATCAATTTAATATGCCAGTTTTGTTTTGGCCTCTTGGATCATTTATATCAGAACTGATTACTGCTTTAGCATTAAAATATATCATATTAAAATAGCCTATATATTATTAATATTACTATTATTGTCCCCTTACTGTACAAACTGTAAATAAATCTTTATTCCTGACTATGTGACGTCGCCATTGTGTTTCTAGTTAAAATATTGATTTTTATTTATTTATTTATTGGTAGATTGGCTTATGGGGTGATTTTGAAGGAGTAATTAAATTAATCTTCTCATAAGTGGATGTAATATGTAGAGATGCCATCTTGGCCGTTTTTCTTTTTTTTGTTTTTTTTAAAGTCTATATTTTTCTTTACAAAAATTTGAAAAAGCAGCTGTGACCAAGCTATCACGAGGTGAGTAGCATTGTAAGCATAATTAATAGTGATATACTTCAGTTTGTCTGTGTGTTTTTGTATGCAAGTTGGTCTGCTGTGGTCTGTTGACTGTCCAAAATGGCGGCGGTAGGACGAAACCATGGGCGAGTATGTTGCTATGGGGCGTTCTATTGAGCTTCGCCTCTTGGTATCCATGCTCTTTGATGAAGCCTAGAGAAATTAACCCTTTTCTGCAGCTTTTCTGAACCAATTTGCTGGAAAGCTCCAATGCCTCATGAGACTTCATCTCACCATCACTAGTATATAAGCCCGTATGACATTCATCAGTTCTCAAACGAATCTCCCTAGACCTGGTTGTATTTGTATGGACCATGAGGTCATGGTGACAGATAGATCGCTCTCGCCGCTTAAATTTAGCAGCGGATTCAACGTAGCTGCCGCGATAGATGTACGCCGGCGTTCTAATGGTGCGGACCACTGACCACCAGGCTCAACCAAAGCGGTGGATAAACCAACCCAGTGCCAAGGGCTCTGGCTCAACCGGCTCACTATAAATGATTGACATGGCATTCAACCAATAATTGTAGCTTACACATTACCATTTTTGGTCATTTACAGCTCTCTAAAAGTAGGCGTCCAATTGTAAGGCGTAGTGAGAGGGGGACAGTTAAATTTACATATTTCAGCACTTTCAACCACTCGCTGTCATGTTTCGTGAGCGTGCTTCCCAATACCCAATCAGAATGCCACAATCCAGCGTTGTTTCTTATGGGCGTATCTCAGGACTGCCCCAATCACGCGCGATTTAGTCAAGGTAGGCTTCGGTGCAGAAGAGAGGAACTGCTGCTGTCACTAGAGAAAGGTATGACTGAGTCGGAGAAAATGTTTATGGTTTGTTTTAGAAAAGTTGTGACTTGGTGTTGAGTGTTACTCTGTATGAATGCCTGCATTTGGCGTAAAGGCAGTTGTATTCTAGCAGGCAGGGCTAGCTAGTTGACCAATCCAGCAGATTAGCCCCTAGTAAAACTCAGGTTTATCCTTTATCACTTGACAACTTAGCAGTTAAGAGCTAGGCTGGTAACGTGTAGTCGGAGCAGCCTGTGGAGATGAATGGGCTCTGTGCGTTACCCTGCCCCACTCTCAGCTCCATTTACGTCTCTCTTCGGATGAGCGTAGTTCCTTCATGCTAACGTTACAGAGCTAGCTGCTGGCCCAGTGGGAAAGGCTACACATGACTCGAAGGGCTAACTCTTTATCACACGAATTCTTGGTTCGAAATGAAACCTTGAAACCACCTTGCTAAAGCTATAGCATTCGTTCACTCTTTTAACCGATTAATTTCAGTGGTCAGTTTGCTGACATGTAACGTTAGCTACATGCGAGACTTGCCAGAGAGGAGCTGAAACTGGCATTACAGGGGCACTGGTGATTCTAACTTTGTCATCGGCTTAGGGGGGTGTTATGTGTCGCCACGTTTTTGTTTTACTGCTTTATTCTACTGCATTGTTAATTTCTGCAAGTTTAGTGATAGTTAGGCTTGGACAGGAACATGGAGTTTTGTCTGCATGACTACTGTCACTTACATAACGTTACATTTAATTAAACAATGATTCCACTTTGTACATATCTGACTGATTTTACAGGTTTAGAAAAGTAGTGTCGGTTTCTGTGACCCTTAAGTGGTTGTCTTCAAAACCACATGGTCAACACTGTGTGATGATTGATTTAACTCCAGTCATGTAATTTCTATTACTAGTCACTGAGCAAAAACACAAGCTTTCTGAATTTCAACTAAACTACTCACCTTAGGTGTTACTGTAGAAGTTACCATTCCTATAGAAACTCAGATGCCTCATCGACAACATAATCATACATCAGTGTTGATGACATATTGGAAAGAGCAAGACTTGTTTGCAAGCAAATGTAAGTAAACACGGGGCCTGTAGTTTTTCTGGATAAAAAGCACATAACATTTAGATTTCTTAGCCGATTGCAATGAGTCATTTTCTCTTCATGGATTAATGATCTGCGTGTAGTAAAAAAAAAAAAAAAAAAAAAAAAAAAAGTCTTGTCTCCAGTTAAACAGAATCTCAATAGACTATTATCACTGCTGGATGCTCAATAGAGGAGGCTTACCTGAACTGAATACACAGAGGTTTAAAAAAATCATTGATTTGATTTTGATTTGATTTATTGACTCAAGCAATACACAGAATTTAAAACAATAAAAACATATGTCTGTATTGTCAGGGATGGAACGAAAAACTCCAGGACTTATTTCCATTGTTGTCCCTGTTACAACAGCAGTCCAAATGGTGGCATGCATCAGTAAAGTGCTTGATAGTCTACGCAGACGTGCACCGTGCAGGGACAGAAATGACATGCCGTTGTGTAAATAAGATAAATAAGTGTTACCAACGCCAAGCTGGCAGACCCTCGAACCGTAGTAAAGGGACCTCCGAAGACCATTAGCTCCTTTAGCTTGTGTTAGCTCGTTGTGGCAACAACACATAAACAACGGGACTTCGTCTGCGTTGAAGAACGGCACTTTATTTTCAGCACTGCAGGGATGATGCACAGTCTCTCTCATCAGTGTCTGACTTTTACATAGAGGGAAATAACTCAAAAACAGCATGCAGAACTGCGTAGGCTTCTTCACTGTGGCTGCTTGATGTAAACAACATAGCACATGCCTCACTTTCTTCCTGGGACACATCCGTCTGACATCACACACCACACCCGGCACGCTAACGTCTCATACCTCCTACATCAACTACACACATACACAACTCCACACACACACACACAAGCCACACAAATCAGGCTCAGCCTGTAACATAAAGCTAATTAGTTTGTTTAATAAAAGGACAAGGTTCTTCTGTTCTATAGGAAAGGTAACCTTAAATGACTTCTGTTGTGATCCAATATGATGGTAGGGGAAACACTGCCATATGATAAGAAAGGGGTCCAGTGGAAAGCGATCACAGATGCAGTCGCAGTGTATATTGCAAGAGATATGGTGTCCATATATAGGCTACCGTGGAAAAGCCAGGGTAGCCTGTATATTGCAAGAGATATGGTGTCCATATATAGGCTACCATGGAAAAGCCAGGGTTTATTCACATGCTGAAAGTTTTGGACTCCAGGTATGTGCTACCAGGCCGCAAATATTTTTTTTGGAAGTAGGAGGTGAAAAAATCGATTTAAATCGTGAATCGGATTTGTTGTGAAAAAATCTGATTTTTTTTTTTTAGGCCATATCGCCCAGCCCTAGTCTACATTAATCACAAGTTAATTAAGAGCAATAGTAAATGAAACCACAATAGTGCAAAAAAGAGCATCAACACTTATAAACGTAGGTTGCGGAACAGTAGTTTCCTAATCTTTGATTTAAAAGATACTGCACTTTCCGTTTCTTGTATGGAGAGCGGTAGTTTATTCCACTCCACAGCACCAACATAGATTAAGGATTCACCTCCTGTCTTTGTCCTGTGTTTAGGGCGACATTTCCTCGGCTAGCTCTAGTATTATGTCCATGTGCAATTCTCTTGAAATAATTATTAAAATACGTTGGAGCTCTATTATTCAAAATCCTGTGGACCATAGTAAGTTGGATCTGTCTAGCTCTGGCCTCAACAGTTAGCCACTGTAATTGTTTAAACTGAGCCATTCCCATATGGCTCCTGTGGTTCAGACCCAGGACTACTCTGATTAGTTTGTTCTGTGATTGTGTTGTGTTGTGATGTTTCTTTAGACTCCAGTACCAGGAACTAATAGCGTAATCAAAGTGACATCGAATTAAACAGGAAGCTAATATCTTTAGACACTCCTGGTTCAGTAGTGTAGCCTTTCCTGCAAGGAATCTAGTTCTAGCATTTATTTCTCCCAGAGTCTTTAGAGCCATAGAAGTGCCCCCTAGAGACCCATCGAGGATGCAACCTAAGTATTTAATTGAGGGCTGCGATGTGATCATTATCCCTCCAGTAGTTATAACAAGTTTGTCCTCCTTGCTCAACCTAACTGTTGAGCCCAATAATATAGATTCGGTCTTGCCTAGGTGCAATAGCAACCTATTTTCAGACAGCCAGGTTTGAACCCTGTCTAGATCCTCTCTTAAAATGTTCTGTATGCAATGTATGTCTTTGTGTGATGTGAGAACAGCAGAATCATCAGCATATAAAAATAAAGGGCTGGAGCAAGCAGCTTTCATGTTATTGATGGAGAGTAGGAAGAGCAGTGGCCCGAGCACACTCCCCTGTGGAACCCCACAGGGGACTGGCATGGCCTCTGACAACACTCCCCAACATCAACTCACTGGTCCCTCCCTGATAAGACCCTAGCCATTTAATGGCGGATCTGTCTAATCCTAGAGCCTTCATCTTTAGCAGCAGTATGTTATGGTCGACTGTGTCAAAAGCTTTTTGGAGGTCTAATAGAACAAGCCCACACATTCTCCCTTGATCGATTTCTCTCTTAATAAAATCAGTAATATATAGGAGGCATGTATCTGTTGAACAAGATTTCCTGAAACTAGACTGCATCTCATAAAATAATTTAGACTTGGATACTCATAAATTTGATCGTGTACAACTTTTTCAAAAACCTTAGAGATTACACTTAGAATTGAAACTGGTCTGTAGCTGCTAGGGTCAGATTTACTTCCCTTTTTGTAGATTGGAGTTACTTTCGCATGTTTAAAATCAGTGGGAAATTTTCCTTGCTCCAGTGAAAGATTAATTATACACATTATGTATGGAGCAATGTCAGCCGAAGCATCTCTTAAGAACCTAGCACCAATCCCATAAAGCCCAGTAGCCTTAGTAAGTAAGTAAGTAAGTAAGTAAGTAAGTAAAGTAAATTTTATTTATATAGCACTTCTCACAGAGAGGACTCACAGAGTGCTTCACAAGATAAAATACAAAAAATACAGTAACAGAAACAATGCAAAATACACAAAAACAAATAAAAAGTAAAGTGCAGCGAAATACAGAGATGATACAATGGACAATTAATGGAACGCATGCCTAAACAGATGTGTTTTTAACTGCTTTTTAAAAATGTCCACGGAAGAGGCCGCTCTCAGCTCATGAGGTAGTGCATTCCACCATTTCGGTGCAACAACCTTCAAGGCTCTATCACCTTTTGTCTTTAATCTTGTGTGGGGGACAGTAAGTAGGTGGCCTTCAGCGGACCGCAGTGACCTGACAGGACAGTGAAAGGACACCAGATCCGTCAAGTATGCAGGTGCTTGACCATGGAGGGCTCTGTAAGTGATGGTTAGAATCTTGTGCTGGATCCTGAAATTAACAGGGAGCCAGTGCAGGGATGCCAGGACTGGAGTGATGTGAGTGAACTTATGAGATCTGGACAGAAGCCTGGTGGCAGCGTTCTGGACTAGTTGGAGGCGGTCTAATGAAGTTTTATT